AATAAACATGAGTGTGCAGGTATCTTTTCTGTAGAATGATTTAAGTTCCTCCAGGTATATTCCCAATAGGGGAATTGTTGGGTCATATGGAAGGTCAATTTCTATTTCTTTCAGAAATCACCACACTGTTTTCCAAAGAGGTTACACTAGATTGCGGACACACATTTATAACATTATAATTTTGCTTACTTGTAAGCTCATATTTTATCACTGGCAGCACATACTATTCATAGTTTCCCTGAAGGCACAGACTCCATTCATTTTTAATAAATTGTTTGCCAAATACCCAAGGCAGAATCATCATGGTTTGTCTTTCAGCTGTTCTTTTATGTAAAAATGGTGCTCCATGATCAAAGTGACTGGTTCAGTTCACAACTCAAATCATCATACAAGGGCTTTTTTTGGACACAGCCTTGGCTTCCTTTACAGCAGCACTTTATGTGTACTTTCCATTTCTTCTTACAGAACATAAAAAAGATAGGGGCTGAGGCAGGAGGGTTGCTCGAGCTCAGGAGTTCAAGATCAGCCTGGGCAACATGGTACTACCCCATTTCTACACCAAAATTAAATAAACAAAAAATAACTGGGTGTGGTGGCATGTACTTGCAGTGCCAGCTTCTTGTGGGGCTGAGGTAGGAGGATTACTTGAGCCAGGAGGTTGAGTCTGCAGTGAACTATGATCATGCCACTGCACTATAGCCTGGGTGACAGAGTGAGTCCCTGTCTCAAACAAAATAAATAAAAAAGAAAAAAGAAGGGCACTCAAGAGTCAATTGATAATTAACTTTTACTGTGTTATTAATCTCCTAAAGTGAACCTTTTCTCCCTCTACCTCTCCCCCATGCATGGCAATGGGAAATACAATGGTCAGTAATTCCTGTTGGGTGCTATTGTCTGGATCAGACTCAGTTGCCAGCGGTTTTACCCACCACAACCGTTGTTTTTCACCATCGGTGCCAATATTGACAACGTGCAAAAGGCAAATATCATCTCATTACTTTTCTCAGTGCTTTTATGAAAAGATTTGATCTCATGGACTCCTCTGAAAGGGTCTTGGAGACCACCAGGGATCTGTGGACCCCACTTTGAGAACTGCTGGTATAAAAGGTACACAAGCAGATGTGTGTCCCTTAGCTAGCTGTATGATGCCTCCTTTATATTCTTACAATTATGATTTATTAAGGTTCAAATATGTTAACAGGTAGATATGTCTGCTGCTTGCATTGGCTACTAGTGAGTCTTTCCGACTGAGCTTTTAAAAAAATCTGATGAGAATTATTTTAAAAGTTTAAATTAAAATAACAAGAGTTTGTTATTTTATTGCTCTATTTGATTTCGAAAATGTAACTTTCGAGTTTTTGTATCTGGTGAAATAATCTGCAGTTGGATTAATGAACACAGTTATTGTCTTCTGAAATGATAGATTGTTAAGATAATTATTAGTTTATGATAACAGTTAAAAGTTTTCATATTCTTGAACACTCACTCAAATATGGAGAAACTATGCTTTTGGTTTATTTTGTTGAGCCAGGGTGCCACTCTGTTGCCCGGGCTGAAGAGCAGTGGCACGATCAGAGCTCACTGCAGCCTAAACCTCGGGGCTCAGGAGACCCTCTTGCTTCAGCCTCCTGAATAGCTGGGACTACAGGCATGTGCCACCATGTGTGGCTAATTTTTTGATCCCTTTGTAGAGACAAGATCTCTCTATGTTTCCCAGGCTGGTTTTGAGCACTTAGGTGCCTAGCAATCTTCCTGCCTTGGCCTCCCAAAGTGCTGGGATTACAGGCATGATTTGCCAACTCACCCAGAGAGAAAATATATTTGAAAATTACTTGATTTCTTGTTTATGTGCATTAACTGTGTCATGTGTTCGCATTAATAAAAAATTTTGCAGATGATTATTTCACTAAGTGGAATTAAGTCAATTTTTGCTTTACTGAAAACTCAAGAAATTTTCTGCTCCAAACACTTGCACTTCTGTGATTGACCACTAGATGTCATGAGTGCTACAGAAGCATTAAGGGCTGCCCGGGGCCGGTAGAAACTGAACGTTGTAAACTCATAGACCTTCACATGTTTCACTGTTTCCACATGATCGATGCCAGAGGAACCTGATACAGTGTGATATATAGAAGCAAGGTACAACTGGAATAATGAAATTTCAAAAATAAGCTTTTTTAAAGGAAGGTTGTAATAGTTCTGTTGGGTATTGTAAATGCTTCAGGTGCACTTGATACTACTGTTATGTTCCTGGCGTTTGGGTCTCTCTCTTTTTTATGGAAAGATGGATTGAACTTCAATTTAAGAATATTCGGTAATCCCTCTCAGGACATACTGTAACAGCTGGTATTTTTGTGTTGTAGTAAATCGATTCCATACAACAGTCAGTAATAATTATGGCTGGGATCTGACAAATTCCGAAGCTTTTTCAATAAATTTAGCCAAAGAAAATAGCATCATTACTACAAAAATTTAGCTCACTTTGAAAGCTAAGCCCAGCAACTCTGCTTAGTTTCACGAAATTTTAAGTATTTTACTGTTTAGGATTCTATCAAAACATTTTTAAAAAATTCATGTACTTGTGTATGTTCTGAAAAGATAATTACTTTGTAGTAAATAATACAGCTTTAGAAACCTTGAGTGTTCATTATGAAATTAAAAGTGAGAAATCCCAAGGCCTTTGATATATGGCATATATTAACAGCAGCAATATCAGCTCAGAATAATGTTTTGATGTGGACCATAAAGTCCTCTTTAGTATTAATGGAATGTGAATGTTTCTAATGGTTGGATATAAGAATAAGATGGCTTATTATGTGGTTTATGAAAGTGAAACATTGTGAGTTATTTAAGTTCTTTAAGTGATGAAAAAAGTAATTGGACTCATGGTGTAGATTGTGTAGGGTATATATATGTAATCTATACCATACAAATTATGGCTTTTCTCAACGAATAAAGAGCATAAATTATATACATACATGCACATAATAAATACATACCCACATATATACATAAATATCTATTGCCCTAATGGTACAAATGTGTGTGCAGACATTTTACAAATTTTAACCGGTTTTCTTTTTTTTCTGTCAGCAAAACAAAGTCTGTTAATTGACTGCATTCTTTAAGTTTTATGTAGTTTGTTTTTGACTTGCTTTTGTTTGAATTACTTCATATCTAGCTCTGACTTATGTAAGGGATATTTTCATGTAATTGAATCTTAATTCTGATTGTTAGAATAATTTATGAAAGCAAAGCAAAATTGCAGTGTAAAATTTTTGGGGAAAACAACTTCAGAGGTGGGCATTAATGAAGCCTTGCCTTTCTCATTTTTTATTTTTAGCTTAGTATTTTATATTTTTATTCAGTAAAATAACTGTCCTTATATTTTTAACTAGCACTCCTACGTGGATTGGTGTGCATGTTTTAACCATGTCAGCCTTTGCAATAACATAAAACAAAATTCAAGATAGTCTGGTCCAAAATAATCTATTTGATGGGGAATTTTTTAGTACTAACTTTCACTTTGACAATTAACAAGCTAATTTAGAAGGTTTTAATAGAATCTTAGAGTTTGGACTTTCAACTAAAACTTGGCAGGCTCATTTTTCTTTATTCTGTGATATGAATCAGCAACTTAAAACCTTTCAGAATTGATGTGAGCCAGTTTTTCCAGTGTGTACAGTGTCCATTATTCTTGTCATTACTATGTGCTAAAATATACTTTTAAATTACAGAATTTACTTGATAAAGAACTGGGGAAAATGTATTAAAAATGAACTTAAACACATTGTATCGTTCTTCTGATTTCTACAGAAATTTAAATAGAGCACATTTTTCATTATTAGCCAGTGGTGATGCAAATTTAAACCACATGGCCTCCTTCTAGGTGTTAGGCCAATGTAAATTTTTAATCTTGCTATTTTCTTTTATGCTTTCATTTTATAATCTCATTACCTGAATTAAAATTAAAAATCCAGTCATAATGGCCAGTATTTATAGTTTGCTTATCGTGTGTCAGACACTGTGTTATATGCCTGAGTGTATTTTATTATCTAACAGTTCAAAATTTATTGTTGTCACCATTTGCATATAAGGAAGTTGAGGCTTAGTAAGATTAAATAACTTGTCTAAGATCACAGAGCTAGCAGGATTAGAGATTAGGCCAAACTCTAGAGCTCTTGTTATTAGTTGCTATACTATATTATCCTGCATTTACTGCTTATTTTGGAATAAACATCAGTTAAAATAGTTATTGAAAAAAATGTTATTTTCCTAGATATATCAAAGCTTAGCTTTTACTAAATGTATGTTACTTATGTGACTTAGCTTGGACTGTTCTGTTTTGTTTAGATTAAGGACACTTCTATAAATCTATAATAACATCTTGCAATGTAGTAAATAGTCTTTCAAGATGAGTTACCAACTTCTATTAGAGACCTGGGCAGTTTTCATAGTAGCATGAGCTATTAAAAAATACAATTAGTTTTCAGTTTCTGACAATTTATATAGTCTCCATTATACACTGAGAAATATAGCTCAGAATTATGGTAACAGAGAGAAGGAAGTTTAGAATGGCGTTGACTTACAGAAGCTTCTCAAAGTTTTCTATGTATTCGGTCAGCATTCTCCAACCCAAATGTAAAAATCTTTAAGGAAGCCTTGACACATATATGAATAACCTTCATATTTCCATTAGAAATCTCTCATCGATATTAGAAACTCTCACACCTAAAATAATTTGCATGTAGTCTGTTAAAAAAATTCTGAAGAATTATGATATCTCTGGGAGTGTATTGGAATAAGAATTCTGAATTAGTTATAGAATGTTGTAATTTAGTGATATTTAAAAAAATATAAGTATTTCTTTTCTTTCTAGAAACAGCTTACAAGATAAACAGAACTTGGTAGATACCGTGGCTACAGGCCAAGGAACTGGAGTCCCTGCAACTTTCTGAGGGCAGAAGGTCTGGAGGACTGTGTCCTGGCCACTTCTGCGTCCTGCATCATGCCGGCCTTGTCAACAGGCTCTGGAAGTGACACAGGTGTGTGAACCCGAGAGAGGCAGTTTCTGTCTGTCCTTACTTAAATCTTATTCACAGTGAAATACAGTGCTACTTGAAGTAAATGTAAGCAGGCCATGCATGTTTTCAAGCACGAGGGGAATAAAATCAACTTCTAGAGAAAAAGTTCTTGCTGATCGCTTCTTTTTTTCAGGTAGTGATGGCTTGTGCTGATGTGCTCATACTGACTTGCTTTTAGAATAATGCCATGCATTTAATTTAGAAAAGTTAAGTATTTTGAACATACAGAAAAGTGTGGCAGATGCCACGATACCCATATTACCCCTTCATAACAGATACGAACTTTTTGCTGCATGTATGCTTCAGGCCTCTCTTTTTTCTTTAAAGAATAAAACATTATCCCTACCCCAGTTCCTCCATTTTCTTCCTGCCTGTCACTAAAGGTAAAAAGTATCCCAAACTTGATATATGTCATTAAGAAATTCAGTTAATACTAACTGACAAGCATTCCACCTTATTGTCAGTTGTAAGACATAGAGGTACATAGAATAAATACTGCCACATGCATACATGCCTTTGTAAAATCCCCTGCTTCTGATCAGACTCACGACTTGGGGGAAGAGGCCCCTTTGAGGGTCTGTTCTGGGGTTCCCCAGAATCAGCACTTTTTCAAAGTGTAGAACCCTGGATGCCTGTAAGAACTATTAAAACCAAATGTGAGTGGGGTTGGGACTATGCCATGCATTTTTAAGATCCTCTCAAAAGAAGTTTGACTAAAAGGGACATTATCTGTGTTGCACTGACTGTGGTGCATTCAGTTGATCCCATTCTCTCTCTAGTTGAGATAGCTCTCAGGCTGGGTGATTACCGTTACTGGGACCATAATCTCCAAAAAACTGAATCACAAATTTAATTTTGTCTTCCAATATGTTACAATGGCATTTGCATTGGCACCATTTGCAAATATCATTCTTTGCTATTTCAAGCATATCCATACTTATATTTTGGCAAGTTTTATTATATCTTTACCTATCAGGACTTATTTTTTTCCCCCACTATGATTTAAAGTGCAGATTAGTTTTTGTCAGGAAGAAGTTTTGATTGTTAAGTTACATAAAATTTTTCTTTCCCAAGCCCTTAGCTTGGAAGCCAACTCCTTTGGAAAATTTTTTTTCCTTCTTTTTATGTTTTATATAGTCCCACGTTGTGTTCTACTATATAAAAATGAATGATTTAACTTTCCATAGTGGTTTGGGAAATTATAGATAAAATTTATTTGAACAATAAATTTATTGCAGTTGTATAATGAATGTTTTAAACCTTGCTTTTCACCCAAAATACCTCATTTTAATTGGATGCATAATATCGTTGCTTACATATAACTCAAGGGATGATTAAAACGGAGCAGTTATAGTTTATAAGGCAATTTAGGTGTCAGTCATGAAAAATAGCATATGCTATTTAGAATTTAAAAAGAGCTTTTCCATGCATAGTCGGCTGCTTAGAGCAAATCTAAAGTGTCTATCTGTCTGAAACCTTGCTTTGTGATATTTTTGACCTAAGTCCCCACGAGTTTTGAGCCTGGCACGGGAGACATGCTTTTTTCAGAGTCACTGCATTTATGAAAGCCCCAAGCATGGTGTATGCATCAGATGTTTACAGTTCCCCCAGAGTTCCTTGCAGATCAGAAGCAGTTGACCAGTCAGGGGGCATTTTTCCTGTAAACTGTGTTGCTTAGCAATATCATTGATGTTGTCCCATTATCAGGTCTCCAGGGAGCAGTTAGCGAGTAAACTGAAGCTGAGAGGCACATGCCGCAGGAGGAAGGCACTGCTGACAGCAGCTCAGATGCCCACATTTGCTTCTAACGTAAAACTTTTACCACTTCTCCCTCTTCCCTTTTCTACTTGTTTCACTAAGAAAAAAAAATAATTGCACAAGTAATACATAAAAACATGTACCTTGCCCCCAGTCTCATTTTCTTTCTCAGTTTGATAAGTAGCTTTCAAGAATTTTCTGTTCATTAAACACATGTATATACCTAAATACATTGCTTTGAGTCTTTTTTTTTAAATCAAAGATTTTGTTATGCCCCATTTATTTTTCTACAACTTTTTTTCTACCCCAAGTAATATATCTTGGAGAGGTACTTTTTTTTTTTTTTTTTTTGAGTTGGAGTCTCACTCTGTCACCCAGACTGGAGTGCAGTGGCCGCTTGTGTAGCCTCGACCTGCTCTGGTGATCCTTCCACCTCAGCCTTCCAAGTAGCTGGAACTACAGGCATGCGCTACCACACCGGCTAATATTTTTGATTTATTGTAGAGATGAGGTCTCGCCAAGTTGCTCAGGTGGGTCTTGAACCCACGGTCTCAGGCAGTCCACTCACCTCAGCCTCCCAAAGCGCAGGATTACAGACTGAGCCACTGAGCCTGGTGAGAGATACTTTTTATGGTGTCAAAGTGTATTTGTGTATATGTATGTTATGCATACATCTATCTATTCCTATATACATCCATATGTATACCTCATTTTAAACTAATGAGTAGTTTTCTATTGTATTGCAATTTAGTGAACCTCTGTTAATGAAACTCTGGCTTTGCTCCTTTTGTAAATATTTTGGGAGGAAATAGGTACATATTTAACGATATTATCAAATATCTTCCAGAGTGGTTAAACCACTTCATAATCTATAGACAGTGCATTAAAGGTCCTTTCTCCCACATGTTTGCCGATATTCACTATTATCAGTCTTTATAATTTTTACTAATCTGATGGGAAAAACAGAGTATCTTAAGTGTGAAGTGTACAGTACTCTGCCTTGAAGCATATTACCATATGCTTGTTGGCCATTCATTCTTCTGTGACTTATCTGGTCGCATCCTTTTTCCATTTTTGTATTGGTTTAGCATTTTCTAATTTATTTACAGAATTTTCTTCATTTTTATTTTGTATATTAGCTCTTTGGGCCGCTGTTAGTTGAATAGCATTTTTTTCTGGTAAGTTGTCATTTTCTTCTTCCTTAAATAGTATCATTTCTTCTATAGAAGTTGAATACTTTTATGTAGTCAAATCAATCTTTTCTGAATGGTGAATGCTTTTTTATTCTGCTTAAGATGGTCTTTCCTATCCCAAGATCATGAAGAAATTCTCTAAGATTTTCTTCTAGTTTTAAAGATTTGTTTGTACATGTTTGAAATTTTAATTCAACTGCAGTTTCTGTGTGGAGTGAGGCAGTGACCTAATCTAATGTATCCTGATTTTCTGTTTCTACAAGTCCCTAAATCACTTATTCAGTTGTCCATTCTTTCCACATAGATTTGTAATATCCCCCCAATCATATTCCAGCATTGTATGTTCTAGTTTCTCTTTCTTGGCTTGTAATGATCTATTGCTCAAAGTAAAATTTTTTTATTAGACTTTTTTTTAGAACAATTTTAGAATTACAGAAAAATTACAAAGATAGTACAGAAAGTTCCAGTGTATCTCACACCTAGATTCCTTTTATTAGGAACCTCTTAGTTGGTAAATTCATTTCAGTGAATGAACCAATATTGATACATTTTTGTTAACTAAAATATATGCTTTATTCAAATTTTCTTAATTTTTTCCTAATGCCTTTTTTTTTTTGTTCCAGGATCTCATTCAGGATACCCTATTACATTTAGTTGTCATGTCTCATTAAGTTTCTATTGACTGTGATGGTCTCTAAGATTTTACATGGTCTTGATGACCTTGACAGTTTTGAGGAGTACTGGTCAGGTATATTGCAGGATTCCTCTCTACTGGAATTTGTCTGATGCTTTTCTCATAAAGAGATTGGGGTTATGTGTTTATGGGGTTAAGATCACAGAGATAAAGTACCATTGTCTTCATATTAAGGTATGCACCATCAACTTGATTTGTAACTGTTGATGTTGGTGTTGATCATCTGGCTAAAGTACTCTTTGTCAGGTTTCTCCACTGTGAAGTTACTCTTTTTCCACCATTCCCATACTGTGATCTTTGGAAGGAAGTTTCTATGTGCAACCAGCCCATACATAAGAGTGGTGTGTTATGTTTCCCCCTTAGTTACAGTGAAGTAGGTATGTAAATTATTTGTAATTCTTTGTCTTTTTTACCTCATTTATTAATTTATTCAATCAATTACTCGTATAGATGTAGACTTGTGGATATTTATTTTATACTTTGGGTTATAATTCAGTATGAATTTGTCACTGAAAGTGTTTCAGCTTTGGCCATTGAGAGCTCTTTTGTTTTGCTCCTATCAATGTGGGCTTGCTTTGGCCCTGAAGATGCTCCAGGCTCATCTTGTGTTTCCTGCCCCAGTCCTAGAAACAGCCATTTCCTTTTATTGGAGAGCGGGGCTAGAGAGCATGATCTGGGCAGTAATTTTGCTCTTTGTTACTGGAGTTTCTTTTTATTTATTTTTAGTTTTATAGTTGTGGGGTGCAAGTGAGGATTTGCTACGTAAGTAAGCTGCATGCAGGTGAAGTTTGGGCTTCTAGCTGGCCTTCTCTCCCCTTGATAGTGGACCAGGTACTCATTGTGTCACCACATGTCCCCCTGCCTCCCCTAGCAATGCTCAGAGTCTGCCAGTTCTACCCTTGTACTAGTGTGACTAATGTTCAGGGCCTGCTTATGAGTGAGAACATGTGGTATTCAGTGGTGATAGTTCACTTAGTATGATGGTTTCCAACTGCATCCAAGTGGAGTGTGTTTCTTTAAGGCTCTCTCAGCTAACTCAAAGAAATACATTTGTGTATACTAACCCATGCATGAACATGTACATACACAAACATTTCTGTGTGCAATCATTTCCGTGAAACTATATCAAGCTAAATATTAATTCTTACTGATGTCATCAACTTAGCAAATGGATCATTCTAGTCTTTTCCCTTTTCTTATCTATAAATTCTTCCTGAGCAGTGAAAAACTTGCCATCACCTTCCTTCCATTTTCTTTATGGTTCAGTTCCAGCATACAAACAGCAATATCAGAATTGTTAACCCATGGGAAACATC